CAAATTCTGAGTGGACTGATCCTTAAAAGATAGGTACAAATTTTCTAAGCTATGCAACACCGCTTATATTGATTTTTTTTTTTTTTATATTTGTTTTTCACACAAAGGTGACTGATTTTCACTATTTTACCGGAATTTAAAATACCGGTAGCATTATTTTTAATACAATGGGTAACAACCGAGCTTATCAAATTATCTTTATAAAGAGACACTGTCACATAATCTATGCAAAGGTTCCCTCCCCAATCACCTTAAACTCTCTGATACATGCCCTGCCAGCAAGCTCTAAGGAAACTGGTGACATGACTCCCTCCCTGATCAGGCCTAGTTATTTGTTATTGAACCCCAACAATTTTGCATAGAAGGAGCTTACATGCTCTTCCATACCTGGAAGCAACGAGTATTATCAATGCAGGAAAAGGCACACTGTGAAAGCGAGCATCAGTGGGTTGGAGAATAAGTCTGACTCGTTCAAACTTATGTGGACGGTATTGTCTCGTTTCAAATTCTCTTCTGACTTTGACTTCTTTATATCTACTAAGGTCTTAAGTCTTCATCATTTCCAGGCTCCTCCCATGGTCACCCCTTATGTTCCCCCTTCATCTTCCCCCTCCTTTTTTTTTTTTTCTTCTCTTCCTGACTTCCTTTTCTTTCCTTTTTATCTTTTCTCTTAACTTTCTTCTTTTTACTACTCCCTCTATTTTTTTGTACATTGATGGATGACATTACCGTATTGCCAGCTAACCGACATATCCTATCCCCAGCTACACTGGATTTGTTTTTTGGTGCATACCTTTTTTTTTTTTTTTTTTTTTTTTTTTTTTTTTTCTTTGCTTTACGTTAATGTAGTCCAGTGGCTTCTGAAGAGTAGAAGGCTCTGATATTTTACCAGTTATCTATGTCTTGTAACCACTGTTGAGCACAATTTTTTTTATTTATATTATATTTAATTTTTTGATAGAATGGAGTTTGATTTGAACACTTGGCAGTTTTTATTGCTGTCTGTGCTCCCATTAGGAAGATTCACTCTCTCTATTTGTCCTGTTTACCATTACCATTGAAAGTAAAGAAAATCCCAAATGTTGGGTTGTCCCCAGAAAGGTAATAGAGGGGTCCCCAAGAAAATTTTTTAATTTTTTTTTAATTTGCAGGAATTTCCTCTCACTTCCTGTTTGACTGTGGGACAGGAAGTGAAAGAAAATCTCTGCAATGGGACACAGATGGTGAAAAAAATCTGACAGAAGTTATAATCCTCCCTTAATCTATCCAAATGATAAAAGGTTTTGCCTGTTCCATGCAAGCAATGAGCAGGCTCTTGGGAGGAGTTATACCAGAAGGCTTTAATTGGTAGATGTCAGTCTAGAGCAGTGGCCTCCAAACTGCGGCCTGGGGGCTGAATGCGGCCCTTTGCATACCTTTATCTGGCCCTTGGGGTACTATTCATCCCACTAGAACGAGGCACTCTACCTCCAACTGACACCAACAATGGGGCAATAATTCCTTAACTAATACCAACAGTGGGGAACTATTCCTCCCACTGAAACCAAGGAAGGGGCACTATTCCTCCCACTGACACCAACAATGGGACACTATTCCTCCCACCGACACCAACAGTGGGGCACTGTGCCCCTCTCTGATGGGACACTAGAACACCAACGATGGGGCTCTAATATTCCCCTAAAGCAGAGCTCCATCCAAAAGAGAAAGTTCTGCTTTTCTGCCGCCGTCATTGCCCATTTCCCTTAGTCAAGATGGCAGCGCCAGCACCTGACAGCCGAATGAAGAATAAGCTTGGGGTGAGGACACCGCTGAATTCCTGGACAGGTAAGTGCCCATCAATTAAAAGTCAGCAACCACAGTATTTGTAGCTGCTGAGTTTTAATTTTTCTTTGGGAGGTGGCAGGAGCCGGAACTCTGCTTTAATTCCAGATGTGACATTCAGTTTCAAAACAATAGAGTGCAGCGCTTAAAAAGATGAAAAGTCAATAAGGTGATAGTACAATATCCACAGTGGTAAACTGTAGATATACGAATTCCCACGACCTCCACTCTGTCAGAATAACAGAAATGCGCACTCACCGGAAACGCATGGGTTATGCGCATGTGTGATCATGCATCACAAGCAATAGGTACATCAGAAGCCAGGCATCTCCCTCACGGTGGGTCATCACAGACTCCTAAGATAGGTCCAGGGGGTCCCCTTAAGGTCAGCCAGGTACTTCAGGAAAAAACCTCGTCTCAGGATGGCAAAGTGCTTTTTCTATGGGAGTGAAAGCTCCAGGCAGGAGCCCCAAGAAACAGATGCCCAAAATAGTGTAGTATGTCCAAAAAATGAGTTTTTATTATAAGAACAATAGGGCAGTATGCAAGTAGTGCATCATGTATAAAATAAAATACAGCAGTACTGACCCCAGTGATGGTGACCGCTGGGCCTCCTCGTGGAGCCACGAGGAAGCCCGGCGGTCACCATCACTGGGGTCAGTACTGCTGTATTTTATTTTATACATGATGCACTACTTGCATACTGCCCTATTGTTCTTATAATAAAAACTCGTTTTTTGGACATACTACACTATTTTGGGCATCTGTTTCTTGGGGCTCCTGCCTGGAGCTTTCACTCCCATAGAAAAAGCACTTTGCCATCCTGAGACGAGGTTTTTTCCTGAAGTACCTGGCTGACCTTAAGGGGACCCCCTGGACCTATCTTAGGAGTCTGTGATGACCCACCGTGAGGGAGATGCCTGGCTTCTGATGTACCTATTGCTTGTGATGCATGATCACACATGCGCATAACCCATGCGTTTCCGGTGAGTGCGCATTTCTGTTATTCTGACAGAGTGGAGGTCGTGGGAATTCGTATATCTACAGTTTACCACTGTGGATATTGTACTATCACCTTATTGACTTTTCATCTTTTTAAGCGCTGCACTCTATTGTTTTGAAACTGATTGTTTGTATTTGAGGCATTATGGTTGCCTAAAGTGTTCTAGCTGCTGACATTTAAGAGAGCGCTCACTATTTATCTTTTATATATTTACCAGATGTGACATTGTTTACTCGTACTGATGCCAGGATGGGGTTTTTTTACTCCCATTGCCCAAGTTCTGCCCCCCCCCCCCAAAGTCTGAAGCACAGTAAACCAGCCCTTTGTTTAGAAAGTTTGGAGACCCCTGGTCTAGAGGAATGGGTGTTTTTAGGAAGGCTGCATTTTACCTGCAGACTACCATAGGTAATGGCCACATATGATACTGAGCCTCTATGAGGGAAGGAACTGACAGCCAATGAATGAAAGGGGTGGCTCAGGGACAGTCAGGCTGGGGAAGAAAGTCTAGATGATGCTGTATGTCCTCCAGCAGCAAATGAGACAGGTTCTGTCTGACTTGCTGCAGCTTCTAATGAATACCATCAGAAGCTCACAGTGTGCAGCAAAATCAGAGTGAGCTCTTTCAGTACAAGAGATAAGCCTGATCAGCTTTGCAAGACTGAAGGTAAGGCTGGAGTTGAGCTTTAAAAAAGAACTCAAGTGGGGGATTGGATCAGTCAAGCCCTGAACATAGGAAAAAACAGCTTACCAACGTAAGATTGTTTCATAAATATTTGTATATTTGCTGGGCCAGTTTAGTTCAAGGAGTTGTTTTATTGCCAAAAGGCGTTTCCAGAAAGGAAGCTTCCGGTAAAAGAACATCAGTGGTTCTGTACACATGAAACCACCTGAATTTAAATAGATGTCATTTAAAGCACCACTGAATTCTGAAATCCATACATGACTCTTGAATGCAGCTTAGAGAAAGTGCTGCTGCAATGTTGTAAAGAGAAATGGTCAAACACTTTCACTTCCCTAGTCTATATATGTGACATTAAAGCTGAACTCCAGGCAGATCTAAAACAAACCTAAATGAATGCGGCTTTGTTTTTATGAATACAGCGTCACATGTATTTCTTTATGTACATTCTAAGTACCTGAATATGAGAAGGGAGAAGCAGCACAAGGGGCCATTCAGCTGTGCTACAGTGCATTCCAATAGGAGGAGGAGACCAATCACAGGCTGGGGGGGGAACAAAACCTGAAAATGCTGATTAATTGTAGTGTTGAAAAATCAAGTCTACTGCCCCCTGTGCTGTGTGGCAGATCATTGCAAATATCAGGACTGGATGGACAGAAATGCAAATCTTTTGGCAGCTCTTATTATACTTGTATTCTATTTGTGCATTTAGCTTCTTGGAGGTGGGAGTATGCATATTTTGACCCATTACGAAGCACTTAAAAATGTGCTTAGCATGCGTTTTGTTTTTTCAGCCGCCCCTGTTGAAGTCTATGGGGCTAAAAAATGCCCAAATCTGCTTGGAAAGAGCCTCCGGTACTTTTTTGAGTGACAGGTAGATAAGCAATAAGGTTTGAAGCGGCATTTCAAACAATGGGGTCTTTAATACTGAGTGTTTGTAACTTTGAGCTCTAAAATGTTCAGATGTGAATAGGGCCTAAAACTAATTCTTATCAAATCTCTGACACTAACCAACATCAGAGTACTTACCTCATCAGTTACCTAAAACATCAATGCTAAAAGCAAACAGTTGTGTTTGGACTTGGACTTCAATATTTAGCATTGAAAACTATTGTTGTGATTTATTTATTATTATTTATTATAGGTACTTCTATAGCGGCATCGATTTACGCAGCGGTTTACATATATTTTGCACATTCACATCAGTTCCTAACCCTCAAGGGGCGTACAATCTAAGGTCCCTAACTTACATTCATACATACATATACTAGGGCCAATTTAGACAGGATCCAATTCACCTACCAGCATGTCTTTGGAGATGACCAATGAGTAAGTGTAAGTTCTTAGTTAACCTAAACTTCACCAATACTTTAGAACTAATGTTTGTTCTTTTTGTCTTTGTTGCTTTGCCATGTGTTGCTTTGTTTGCTGTATCCAGTCCCTCTGGAGGACCCAGTCAGAGAGTTGGCTGAATTTGTGGATCCTGTACAAGATGAAATGCAGGAAAAGCTCTCTTCTAATAAGCAGGTTACATTTTTGGTATACCGTGACGGAGATCAGATGAATTTCTTCCGGGTGGTGGACAAAAGGAATGGCAATTTGACTCCGTTATCAGAATCTCTAAGGTAAACTATGGGTTTATATGACGAGTCATGTGGTCAGGTTCTCGTGAAAAGGACTGCTTTATGAAAATTTGACTTAAAGAAATAATAGTAGGGACATCAGTCCCTTATAAGAATTCATATTCTTATGTGCTCTGGTAAAATGGACAGAAAGGTCATTGATTAAAATGAGATTGGTTGCCATTGAAAGAAACCATCAGTTTCCATTATGTAATTGGGGCCCAGGACCACGGGGGATGTTTGACATTTTTATATCTATTTGCACATGCCTGTACAACTCTTGGCAAAAACATTACACTTTTAGCCCTCCTGCACAATTGATGTTTTTACAGCGGCTGTTTTTGGCTTTTGAGGGTTTTTTCTACAGCTAGTAAACCCCCCAGCATGTTATCCTATGTGTCCATACACACATGTACTGTAATCAACGTTTTTTGGCTGGAAAAAAAAAAAAACAGAACTAGTGGGTTTCTAGAGGAGTTTTTCAGCTGTAAAAACGCTGTAACGCTGAAAAACGCAGTAAACCGCCGCAAACCAGTGTTCTTGGACTTTTTTTGACCCCAGAAAAAATTTTTTTGGTAAAAAAAAAAACGCGGGAAAACACAGCTAAACGCAACAAAATGCCGCAAATGCAAAAACGCTAAAAAGAAAACTGAAAACTCACGTTTTTAACGTGACTTTACACAGCTAACGTTACCACCATTATCCAAACGTTCCGTGCGCATGAGGGCTTAGGCTTATGCACTAAGCCAGTGGTTCTCAACCTGTGGGTCACGACCCCTTTGGGGGTCGAATGACCCTTTCACAGGGGTCCCCTAAGACCATCAGAAAACACATTTCCGATGTGTAAAAGAGCTACTGTGTAGAGAAAGCTACTGTGTTGAAAGCAGCTACTCTGTTAAAAGCAGCTACTGTGTTGAAAGCAGCAGTATTGGAGGTAAAACGACACTCATGAATTATAATTACTGGGTAAATGATTTTATGGTTGGGGGTCACCACAACATGAGGAACTGTATTAAAGGGTCACGGCATTAGGAAGGTTGAGAACCACTGCACTAAGCAATACAAAGAGCAGCTGTGCCGACTACAGCATTCAGGACTGCTGCCCAACCAGCCAGCTGTGTGCCACCTACAAGGACTCTTCATTCTTTGGTAAACAGGGTAGACTTGTGTAATTAAAGTGTGTCAGGAATTCAGAAAGACATCATGGCACTTCTTAGGGTTCTGTCATTCTTCTGCAGGATGAATGTTGGTGCACATGACAGATTCATGCACCTGATGTTAACAGATGCATGCATTTTGGGGAATGCAAAGCCTAAGGAGGCGCACTAAGACTGAAGTGTCAATTTGAATACTCCGTCCTCGGTGCAGCTGAGCTCTTTCCCGCTGCTGCAGCTGTCACATCAGCTGTTTTAGCTGATGAGTGGGTGGACCCTGATCAAGAAGCTGAGGCACTAGTGCCCTGTCAGGTCTGCACGCTTATTGACAGCAGGCAGTGCTTAAATCCATAGTAAATAACCTGCTGTTGGCTAAAAAATTCACCCACTGCCTTCCATCAGTCACAAGAAACCGCAGACTTGATAGGGAACTAGTGTCCCTAATGTCCGCATCACTGGTTATTAGGATGCTGTTTTCTGTAAAGCCAGCAGCATCTTTATCAACCAGTGACAGATGGAGGAGAGAGGAGATAGCAGTGGCAAACATGCCAACTGCTATACAGCATGCAGAGACAGGCACTCTGCCCTTCTCTGTATAGCAAGTTAAAGTGATACTAAACCCAGGACTCTGCATTCACTATATCTGGTCTCCCACAGTACACACAACATGGAAATGCAATTATTTTAGTAAATATAAATTGCTAAATACCTTTTCTCATCAGCAGTTAGAGCAGTCTTGTGACTTCAGCAGAGCACTGGTTAACGCTTGTAGGAGGAGGTTTCTTTCTGCTGTAGGAGGATGTGAAAGTCCTGACCCTCTGTCTGGACAGTGCTGATTGGCCCTGTGCTGATCACATGCAGTCTCCCAAAGAAAAAAACAAACGCAATACATACCAAACTGAGCATGTGTATGTGACTACAGATTCAGTCTGTATCAGGTGGTCATTTCAACAAGAGGAGGGGCAGAGAAGTCAGGATCAAACAGCCTTTTTACACAATACAGAGAATTAGCCCCTTAGGTTCCACAGTGAGTATAACAAGCATGCTTTACTGCATATACAGACTGCTTTTACTGTTATAGGTTTAGTAACATTTTAATTGCCTCCAGTTTCATTATATATGAACTGGAGGTAAATATTTTTTAATCTGGTGCAGTAAAAGCGTCACTGGTGCAATAATAGCACTATTAAGAACTACCTGAATTTGGCGCACGTTTCGGTAAAGCTACTGAAACAAGCGGCAGGGTTTGCTAAATCTGGAGCAGGACCATTTAAAGGGCTATACCACCAAAAAATTATCACTGGGGTTTTTTTTTTTTAAATTCCCTGATCTGTGTTTTCCTTAAAGTTTGTCAAGATCCAAGAACATAAATGTGATATTCATTGCAGCTTACCAGTCCTTAGATGTGCTAGCTGCATTACTTTTCCTTCAGGCTAAGTACATTTTCTGCACATACAGAAAGGTTCATGTATATCATCTTGTCAGAAATCCAGTGTCCTTGTAACGTCTATGCATTGAACTTAAATCTCAAATAATGTTATCAGCTTTGTCGGCTATTTCCTGTGAACTACCATACACTCCCTCCCTATGTTATGTAGATGCAGAGGAAGGGGAGTGCTTGAAGTCCAAATAAGGAGAGCAGCCTAAGATGACAACACTGCTCTTCCATACATACAGAACAGTAAGTGAGTGTTGTCACCTTTAGGACAAGTGTTCTTGGTAAGATTACAAGATGAGCATTGTTCTAAAGATTACAGAAACCTTCCCCTCTCTAAAAGGGAATGTATTGTGGTTCTGTGTTTATTCATTTATTATGGTCCAGACTAAAAAATAAAATATTTTCTAAATACTAGAGGCACATTCATTCTACCTGCAATCACAAAAAGTCATATCTTGACAAAACATTGGCCACATAGGGAGTGAATTGTGTTTTAAGGGGCCAATTGACACATGTAGTATACTTGCATGGTGAGGAGGAGCAGTAAGGTGCAACCACTGTGTTATACTGCATAACTGAATGTTGAATCTGCATATGAACCCAAGGAGAGAAAAAAAATGCACTCAAATTGAATAATAGAATAATTAGAACTCAGCAGCTAACACTAAAACCTATAGAAAATGTCAACCCAAATAGTGCAGTGCTAAATATTATCAATCTTTAAAAAAAGATCATCCACAATGTATCTTTAATATAGATTAATATCAATGTGGGTGAAGACAATATCCATGCTACTTATGCTTCACACAGCCGATAGTGACCATAACAAAAGACAAAACTGATCACCCACACACAATACAATTTGTGACCAGTCTTAACGTGAATCAAAAAGTACAGCAAATATAGACGAAAACACTGAAATCGAAGCCATGCCGATATATTCAACTTTCTAGGGTTTCACCAAAACATCCAGTGGAGACACAAAATGATAAACCCATTCTACTTACTGGAGATCCGTGGCCCTCTAACTTAGAATGGTCATAAGTGCTTGTGGAATTCAGAGGAGAGGTTGTTCTTCGCTTTCTACCAGACTCCAGTCATAGAGAAAAAAAAACACAAGAAACCAAACCTCATTGCAGTGCTGAATAAAAGACTTTATTAAAAAATAAATTGTGCACTCACATTAAAAACATCTCAGTACCAACATCTCATGAATAGCTCCAGGTGATTTCAATACCAGTCCTCTGGCCAGTGTGCATGACGATGACCCATCAGGCTCTCCCTATGTGTTTCATCGCCTCTGATGACATCCATGTGTGACGAAACATGTAGGGCAGAGCCTGACATGTCATCATCATGCACTGGAAAGTGAAATATACAGTGCCTTGAAAAATTATTCATACACCTTGAAATTTTTCACATTTTGTCATGTTACAACCAAAAACATAAATATTTTATTGGGATTTTATGTGATAGACCAACACAAAGTGGCACATAATTGTGAAGTGGAAGGAAAGTGATACATGATTTTCAAAATTTTTTACAAATAAAATATCTGAAAAGTGTGGTGTACATTTGTATTCAGCCCCCCTGAGTCAATACTTTGTAGAACCACCTTTCGCTGCAATGTTTAAGCCTTGCCACAGATTCTCAATTGGATTTAGGTCTGGAATTTGATTGGGCCATTCTAGCACATGAATATGCTTTGATCTAAACCATTCCATTGTAGCTCTGGCTGTATGTTTAGGGTTGTTGTCCTGCTGGAAGGTGAACCTCAGCCTCCAGTCTCAAGTCTTTTGCAGACTCTAACAGGTTTTCTTCTAAGATTGCCCTGTATTTGGCTCCATCCATCTTCCATCAACTCTGACCAGCTTCCCTGTCCCTGCTGAAGAAAAGCATTCCCACAAAATGATGCTGCCACCACCATGTTTCACGGTGGGGATAGTGTGTTTAGGGTGATGTGCAGTGTTAGTTTTCCGCCACACATAGCATTTTGCTTTTCTGCCAAAAAGTTCAATTTTTCCTTGCCCGATCTGTCAGTTTAGGCGGACAGCCAAGTCTTGGTAGGTTTGCAGTTGTGCCATACTCTTTCCATTTTCGGATGAAGGATTGAGCAGTGCTCCTTGGGATGTTCAAAGCTTGGGATTTTTTTTATAACCTAACCCTGCTTTAAACTTCTCCACAACGTAATCCCTTACCTGTCTGGTGTGTTCTTTAGTCTTCATGATGCTGTCTGTTCACTAATGTTCTCTAACAAACGTCTGAGGGCTTCACAGAACAGCTGTATTTTACTGAAATAAATTACACACAGGTGGACTCTATTTACTAATTAGGTGACTTCTGAAGGCAATTGGTTCCACTAGATTTTAGTTAGAGGTATCAGAGTAAAGGGGGTTGAATACAAATGCACGCCACACTTTTCAGATATTTATTTGTAAAAAATGTTGAAAACCATTTATCATTTTCCTTCCACTTCACAATTATGTGTCACTTTTATGTTGGTCTATCACATAAAATCCCAATAAAATACATTTACGTTTTTGGTTGTAACATGACAAAATGTGGAAAATTTCAAGGTGTATGAATACTTGTATCTGCATGGCTTTGATTTCACAGTGTTTGCTAGACTTTTTGATTCACTTTGAGATTGGTCACAAATTGTATTGTTAATTGTGATCACATTGTCTTTTGTTGTGGTCATTTATATCGGCTGTGTGAAGCATAAGTAGCATGGATATTGTTTTCACTCACATTGATATTAATATAATATATATTGTGGATATTTCTTAGTCTGATAATATTTAACAATGCACTCTTTGGGTTGACAGCAAGTATGGCTGCCTCTGTGTATACATATAATTACAAATTAAACATACAAGGTTTTTAAAACCTTGCTACATATTGAAAATATATGTAGAGTTGATTTCTTACAGTGGTAATATTCAGATTCACAGATTAGATAAAAGGGACATTCTCATTATGATTTAATTTATTCATTTATACATTGCAAATAAGTACTTTTTTTTTTTTTTTTATCTCCCACCAAAGCCACTTAGAAATGAAGTACAACTACAGTTGTTCTCTATAAAATGATAATGCTTTATGGCTTAGTATTTAGTAGTTCTGTAATACGTTTTGAATTGACTGAAATAAATGTGAAGGTGGATGAATAATCCTCTTTGAGAGGCTATACGTGTGTATGTGTTTAGCATGTGTTTATTATACAAAGTGATCTATTTCTGTCTTCTCTGTAGTGGAGGTTCGGCCAATAACTTGTATGCCGAAGACGAGGATGATATTGAGGCTTCTCCATCTGCCGATCAAATAATAGATAATTCAATCACTAGGATCAAAATGAAGTTGTTGAAATCAAAGATGGAGAGCATGGATCTCAATAAAAAGGTCTTTAAATGAGACAGAATTCTACATAAAGGAATTTTATTTTTTATTTTAATTACACATTACACACTCTCCCACACAAGTTGATATCTTATGTTTTTGTGCATTTCAACTGTCCCTTCTCAATACCATATTTGTAATGGTGTATAGTGTTTCATTTGTACATGGTGATAATTCCCCCTACAGGGTCACCCTTGTCCACTCACATTTTGTTTTACTTGTAATATTAAGAGCAGCAGTTCTTCCTTCTCTCTCTGTATACATGGTCCCAAGTACAGCAAGTCGTCTTGTGTCTTCCTTCTTTTCATGTTTGTCTTTCTTCTTATGCATTAGTTTTTCTTTCCTCTTTGTTCTTCATCTTCTGCTTGCATCTTTATTCATTGTCTATTTTTTTTCTTTCTTTCTGTTGTCTTTCTTATTTTCCCTGTGCATGGTCCCCAGTACAGCATTTTCTTTCATATTCTTTATACTTGTCCTTTCTCCTTTCTTTTATATTTCTACTTTTTCTTTTTTTTTTTTTTTTTTTCTTTTTTTTCTTTTCTTTCTTCTTCCATGAACCAGTAAAGCTGTTTTAATTTAGCTTGTCATAGAGCAGTAGATCTGACTATTGGATGGCTCCTGTTCTTGTTTTATATTTGGCCATATACTCTTCTGGCTAACTATGAAGTATCCAGATGTTTGGCATGTAGAACAAAAATCCACAGGGTTGATGACAGGGTTAACAGGCAGTTCAATATCTCATCACTGCTTATCAAGTATTATTCTTTGGCAGGAGTCTTTCTTACCTAGTGCCATCAGGTTTTGGTTTTAGTGTTGTTGATCAGTTGGTATATTGGTATGTTGTCACCAGGACAAATAAAGAGGGCGATTCTACTTTATGGGGACACTATCACTAATAAAACCTTCCAAAATGTAAGTTGGAGACACTAAACGAGAAACCATACTATGGACTTTAGCTAGGCAGCTCTCGAACATAAAGGAGCCTCAAAGGTGCCTCAAGTGTACAGTGCAATGTTCAAGGAGAATAAAGCTGGGTATACACATACCGAACATCAGTTGGTTCAGCACGAGCCGAAGATGATTTTTTGGTGCGCATGTCCGGGAGCCCCTCCTGTCAGAATACAAAGACACAGCAGGAGAAATCCTTGCAATCCATATCCTGTGTGTTGATGCTGAGATCTATGAGGTTTTTTTTTTTTGTTCCATCCACTTGTTGAACAAAAAATAATTCTGTGGCTACCCTGCTTTAGAGAGCCTCACCAAAAGTATAAAAGTCCAAGTATGTTTGATTCATAACAGAAGACCAAAGAGGACAAAGACAACAAGCCAATGCATTTTGGGGTCTATGAGGGCCTTATAGTGCAAGTTTAATTGGAATTTAGGTAATTAATGGGGGGGGGGGGACTTAACTCCGCTCTGGTATAAATGGCTTCTTGAATTGAAATTGAGAAGTCTGCTTCTGAAATTGTCTGTCAGCTTTTCTCCTCTCCCCTTCTTAACTAGCAAACATAAGCAGCATATGCAATATATTGCTCTATCTGAGAAATGTTCCAATATGTTGAGCGCTTTTGAGTCAGAATGTTCATTATTGGTTACAAATACTGCAAATATTGGTTACAGCATATACAAAATATTGCTCCATCTCAGGAATTTTTCAATATGCTGAGCGCTTTTGAGTCAGAAATGTTCATTATTGGTTACAAATATTTTCAGTATATTATAAAAACTCTGAAGCCATATCAAAATCTGTTTCTTTTGCTTATAGTGAAAGTATCCTTTTTTGCAGCACATGTGCACGAGTTTCTCCCTCAAATCGCGCAGACATGATTAAGTTAGCTCAGTGTACACTGGCAACTATGATGGGAAACTCTTCTGCAGGCCATAGACGGGTCGTATATCGGCCGAATTTTCATGGGGTCAGCCCGCTAGCCATTTTTTGTGGATTTCCTTGTTTACTTTTATCAGTCATGTTGGAAAATCGTTTTTCGTGGACATTGGTGGTAGCATCGCTGCCATCAACACCGATTTTTCGTTTATCGGCCCAAAATTCAGCCGATAAACGAACTGTCTATGGCCAGCCTTAGATTGTTTTGTATGAAAGTTTATCTTATCAGTTGGGTAGCTTTAGATTCATAGAAAATTGTCCCTACCTGTTCCAGCCCATTCATGCATGCTTGTTCTTTTTTTTTTTTTTTCTTTTTTTTTAATGTGTTCAGGAAAAAAATTAACTATCTCTATTTTAGTCTTTTTATATTTTTTTTTTTTCTTTTTTCAGCTGAGGAGATCTTCAATCTTAAGACCACGACCCCCTATGGCTCCACGTCCCTCAAGTGGTTCTATGGTATCTGGTCGTCTGAGGCTGTTCAAAGTCCTTCCGCACATAGGACAGACGTGCCTACCTCCTGGGAGCCTACACACTTCTGAGTCTTCCCATAATGCACTTTCTACTCTAACTGCTGCTGCTAGTACTCTAACTGAGATTGCTGGTGATGATCTTAAGGAAGAGGAGACCTCTGAAAGTTCAGCGGTGATTTCGTCACTTGCGAGTATTTCTTTCCCCCCAAGAGTATCCCCAGTAGAACTTGAAAATGTCCGACTTTCAACAAACATAGTCCTCCCCCATATTAATTCTTTGCCTAAAAAAGAAATATTGAAAAAAGATAATGACTCTATTTTGCATTCAAATCTAAATATAATTTCTTCTGAAGAAGCTTCTAGATCAGGCACAGAGTGCTTTGCACTGTTATCAGATGTAGGACCTTCAGATCAGTATGAGGAACTGTGCAGTTTGGGGAAGGTAAAATCTGAATTTGAGCTGGCTGAAGCAGAACAAAAGGCTTCAAACATTGAGACCCACCAAGCCTCAGTCCCAAATGCTCTAAACTCTGATTTGATGGAAACTGGGATTCTCAATGCAACAGAAGTGAGTCCCCCAAGGAACAAATTTCTGTCCCCCATCCACTTTTATAGCCCAATCAATGATAATGTCTTCCCAAAAACACAGCGACAACCTAAATGCTTTGATTTAGGGGGCTTGAGGCCACCTGCGTCACACAATCTTTTCCATTCTCTGCAGCTCCGTAGCATGGCTGAGCCCACTTTTTCTAGGACTTCTAGATTTAGAGGGGTTAGAGCGGAGTCTCCAAGAAAGAGATCCAGTGCAATTGCAAAAGTGGAAGCTAGCGAGGTAACTGAGGTAGCCAGCAAGTCATCACAGGAACCTGTGGGCTCACTTAACAACCTGAGATTTTTTGCTTCACTGGCTCGAAGTGAAAGTAGGGAAAACTCGAGATTCCGGACTGTTGTTGCTCCATCAGCTTATCTTCAGAATGACAAAGTTACCTCTCTTAATGACAAAGGGAGCATCTTCATTGTAAGTATTTAGGCTGTTTGCTTTGTGACTCTGCAGTCTGTAAATGGTAATTAAATACTACCATGATTAACATATTAAAAGGGCAAAACCAAAGAGCACACAATTTACTAAAGATCTGAGTTCATTGACTGTATATCTCAAATTATGTTTTATATTTTGATCATTTTTTTTCTGGAATTCACCTGCTGCCAGTTGGGTTAAAGCAGTGTTTCTCAACTCCAGTCCTCATGGCCCCCCAACAGGTCATGTTTTCAGGATTTCCCTCAGATGAAACAGCTGTGGTAATTACTAAGGCAGTGAAACTGATCAAATCACCTGTGCAAAATAATGGAAATCCTGAAAACATGACCTGTTAGGGGGCCATGAGGACTGGAGTTGAGAAACACTGGGTTACAGGAATATCCTGGAGATTGATGGGACACACACAAAGCACATATCAGTACAGTTCAGAGCCTTTTGCACTTTTTAGATAAACATGTAAAAGAGATCAGCTGATTTAAAAATAATCAGTTTTGTTTTAAGGCTTGTTCGGGTTCAGCTGGAAATCAATCCAAGCAGCAAACACTTCCGGGAGGGATTGCCTTTGATATATTCAGCCATTGAATGGTCACCAATGGCCTCCATGTGCGGAGCAGAAGTTGAACCTTGCACAATTTCTTTGCAGGCTGTCCCAGGTGGAGTGATCTCCTGCCCAACAGTGCCTGCATAGGTCCAGTGCTGTTGTCATGCAGCACATTCACAAACTATTCTCTCACTGACACCAGTGATGCAGAATTCCTCAGCCTACCGAAAGCAGGGTCATTTTTTTTCTTTGTCTCTGACCACCAATACTGGGGCATTATTCCTCTCACTAACCACAGATGCTGGCGCATTTTTTTCTCTTGCTGGTACATTTTTCCAACCACAGATACTGACATGTTTCATCCTAGAATGCCAACCCAATTTGTCATGCGCACTAATGGGCATAGTTAGGCAAGTTGTAATAAAATGTAAATTAACAAATTGCCATGCAATGTATAGCTACATTATGATCAAATCCTTATAATTTTATCGCAATGCAGCGCACACATAACACTGCAGATTGGGCTTTTCCTGAACACAAAGGTGTGAAGCCAACCTCCAGATATTTAGCATAGGCTCCTTATTTTACAATTTTGAATACCTTTTGATTTTCATGGTTTTGCTAAAAGGCACAATTTAGAAGTTATAAATATTTGTTACTTATTAACTCAGTACATTTTTATCTTTTAGATTTCGTGGGAATGTTATGTTGTGTGTGTTTGCTTTAATAAGGATATATGAGTATTTTTATTAATTATAACAGGGCCTGCAAAATCGGTAACACCATCTTTTTATTCTGTGTGTCTTGTGCTTTCAGAAAATGTGTGATTTTATACAAACTAAGGAAGTTGTAAGTGAAAAATGATCAATTAAAAAATTAGCAAAAATGGCCTGACCACCTGACATGAAAAATTCAGAGCAGGGCCTGGTAGAGAAATGGTTAAATGGTACCAATGTATTTTAAAAAGGGGTTGTCAATCTTTATAATTAATTCCCTTAGGGAAAAAAAGATCAAAACTCTTAAAGTATTAGGAATCTTTTAGCTGCATCATTGTTTATACTTTTTTTGTTCATTCCTTTTATTGGCATAGCATCCCCATGTTTTCATCTTCATCTAACATACATACTATTTTTCTTTACTCTTTCCCCAGACTTCTCATGGTCTTGGAGAGAGTGAGGCCAGTGCAGACTTTGGAAAGAAAATGAGTAAGTTATGTGTTATTCAATCTATAGACGTAGCAATGCATGATTCCAGCAACTTCAGGCATCAGGATGGGTCTACAGGTCCAGAAACACTATGCTGAGCAACGGTTGGAAAAATTCCAGGGACATTCTTATAGCATACACTGCAAAAAAAGTGTTTGGACTGTAGAGTAGAAGTGCTAGTTAATATTACACCATATTCATGCTGCAGCATTTCCATGTTTTATATTTTCATTATATGATTCTTTTCTCCTGCTGTAATGGATTGAGCTACTGTGCAGTACATGGAACCTCTAGGCGATTCCCTTCGTGCAGCCGTATACTCCCCACCCCCCCCACCCCCCCCCCCCCCTCCCCCCCCCCCCCCCCCCCCCCCCCCCCCCCCCCCCCCTTGCTGCTGGATCCCCAAAAGCATTTGTATTGGTGCTTTCCATGATTTTTTTTTTTTTATATGGAGGCTGTTCTCCTCAGTATTTATTTTAACAATAGGCATAGTTTGCCCACATGGGATTGTTCCTTTCTGAACTCTGATTATAGTTTCATACACTTATCTCATTTGTATTAATTGGCTTTTATTATTACACTTTAGCTTTTTTATTAATGTTTCACAACAATTGACACCATTTACTTTTTATACTTGTATGGAGGGGGGATAAAAAAAAAAAAAAATATAAATATATATATATATATATCTCCAATGAACTGGAATCAAACCCAGGACCCCTTTGTATCTACCCTGTTGTGCCAATCGCTAAGGCACAACTTTGCCTATGCCGTCAAATTGGGGTTTGATTTTAACAAATTCCTTCTATTCCTGGCACAGAAATTTCAGTTCTGTCTATTGTAGCTCAGAGCACAAAATCAGAGCAAACGTCTTGATAAGAGCATAAAGTGCTTTTTATCCAACTACTCCTTTGTGTGTGTTCTGGAAGGGAATTTCTTTCTTTCATAGGTGCTACAGTGCTGTAAGTATCCTATAAAGATTTATTTTTCTGTCTTCACAGTTGAAGCGACACATCTTTTCCCTCCTGTAAAGCCTGCCTTTCGCAATAAGAAGAAAACAACTAAGCACTGTTTCCTGTGTCGTAAGAGAACCAATTTGGCAACAAGCTTCGAGTGCAGGTGATCATTTACATTCAGGCCATCCCTTGAAAACCTTAAAAAAAAAAATAGCATCAATAACATGGGGTAGCTAAACAATTACAAAAATGAAGAGAGGAAACTCTTTGCTTTACATATGTAAGCTGTCAATTATTGCAGTAGCTGTATCTTTGATTAGTTATTCAGTCACTGGATTTAGACAGCAAGCTAAGGATGCCTGGGGGGTTGAGTAGTGGTGAGTGTTTTGTTTTATGTGTACACATACACGCACACACACACACACACACACACACACAACCAATTATTCGGTATTTGTATTTTTGAAGATTAATTTCATTATTGAACAACTACAGAGCTCTCAGTCAATCCAAAAGGTTAATAAACCTCAAACCTGATTATTTAACAAAGTAAAGTGAGGTTTTGACTTTCTTAGGAGAATATCTACAGCCCTAGCCAAAAGTTTTGAGAATGACAAATATTAATTTTTCCAAAGTCTGCTGCCTCAGCTTTTATGATGGCAATTTGCATATATTCCAAAGTGTTATGAAGAGTGATCAGATGAATTGCAATTAATTGTAAAGTCCCTCTTTGCCATGAAAATGAACTTAATCCCTCAAAAAAATTTCCACTGCATTTCAGCCCTGCCACAAAAGGACCTGCTGACATCTTGTCAGTGATCCTCTCGTTAACACAGGTATCAGTGTTGCTGAGGACAAGGCTGGAGATCACTCTGCCATGCTGAATGAGTTAGAATAACAGACTGGAATCTTTAAAAGGAGGGTGGTGTTTGAAATCATTTTTCTTCCTCTGTTAACCATGGCTACCTGCTAGAAAACACATGCAGTCATCATTGCTTTGCACAAAATGGGATTCACAGGCAAGGATATTACTGCTACTAGGATTGCACCTAAATCAGCCATTTATCAGATTATCAAGAATTTCGAGGACAGAGGTTAAATTGTTTTTAAGAAGGCTTTAGGGTGCCCAACAAAGTCCAGCAAGCTCCAGGACCATCTCCTAAAGTTGATTCAGCTGCGGGATTGGGGCACCACCAGTGCAGAGCTTGCTCAGGAATGGCAGCAGGCAGGAGTGAGTGCATCTGCACGCACAGTGAGGCAAAGACTTTTGGAGGATGGCCTGGTGTCAAGAAGGGCAGCAAAGAAACCACTTCTCTGCAGGAAATACATCAGGGACAGACTGATACTCTGCAAAAGGTACAGGGCTTACACTGCTGAGGACTGGAGTAAAGTCATTTTCTCTGATAAATCCCCTTTCCGATTGTTTGGGGCATCTGGGAAAAAACTTTTCTGAAGAAAAGTTGAGCACTACCATCAGCCTTGTGTCATACCAACAGTAAAATATCCTGAGACTATTCATGTGTGGGGTTGCTTCACAGCCAAGGGAATGAGCTTGCTCACATTTTTGTCTAAGCCTAACGTTTTGATTCTTCTCAAATCTTTGTCCAGTTAATTTGCGTCTTTTGTTTCTCAACACGTTTCTTCCAACCCTGTTGACTAATTGCAACAAATTGCTTGATGGTTCTGTGATCACACCTCAATATCTTAGCAATTTCAAGAGTGCTGCATCCATCTTAATAGACTTTTTCCAATTTTTTACTTTTCAAAGTCAGTTAAACCCCTTTTTGGCCCATTTGCCTGAGGAAAAGAAGCTGTCTAATAATTATGCACACCTTGATGAAGGGTGTGGATCTCCTTAGGCCACACCCTCCCTCATTACACAAATACACATCACCTGATATGCTTAAATATGATAAGCATTCACCTTTATACAGCTTGGAGTTGGACAGTATGCAAAAAAAATGCTGATTTGGTTAAAATACTCGCCTAACAATTGTGCACACAGTGTATGTATGTGTGTATATATATATATATATATATATATATATATATATATATATATATATATATGTATATATATATATATATTATATATATATATATATATATATATATAGTATATATATTAGGACTCTGGAGTGAGATCTCCTCCCGATTAGTAGACATTTAGCCTTGTTCATTGCTCCCTTTTGCCTTCCGGCTAAACAAAGTAGTCAGACTTTACCCATGGTATTTAAAGGGAAATTTTTGGAGGGGATCCATAGTGACAAGGATTGTTTTTACCTGTGCAATGGGTGGCTCTTTCTAGCAGCAGCTGAAAATGTGGGGCAACCAGAAACAGCAGTCGCGAGTACCTTTTATTTAACTGAAACCTGTAGAAGACTTAAGCATCTGTTTTGTGGTGTAATATTTCCTGCACATTTTTTTTGGGTGGAGTTCACCTTTAAATATGCACAGTCCTGGGCAAAACGACTGCTTGGTTATATCTTCATGATAAATCATCACTTCCTTTTAAGATACTGGCTATTTAATAATTTTTCAATAAATAAATGTAATCAATAAATATATTTTTTTTTTATTATTTAGATGTGGAAATAACTTTTGTGCCACTCATCGATATGCAGAAACTCACAACTGTACATATGATTACAAGACTGCAGGAAGAAGACATCTGCAGGAAGCAAACCCTGTTGTGACGGCACCAAAACTCCCCAAAATTTAACTGTGCACGCTGTATAAGCCACTCCTCCCTCTGTCTGCTAGTCACACAATTAATATTTTTCTTTCAATAAATTTTTATTGGTTTTGGTTACTGGTTATATGATTATTATCAATGCACATTACATAAGTTGCCTATGCTATGCTTTGTTTTTCAAACATTAAGCTATCTATACATAGAAAGTATGAATCCATTTTCCAATTATTTTACTTTGTAGTTGGCCTCATCTGGTTGAGACGAAATACCATTCATTTCATTGTCTGTAATATGAAGTGGACCGAAAAAATAAAATAACTAAAATATATGGCACACAGATTAGAAGTGTTCAAAAACTTTTGGGAACTGTTTGTCAATGTTTTCATCCAAGATTCACACATTCTTCACTTAAGATTTTTTTTTTTTCGTTTTTTTAATTTTTTATTTAAAGGCATGCAGCAGATAACAATGGAAAGTAGACTTCTTACAACATGTAAAGTGAGTATTTCAATTGCACACAAAATATTCTTGAAATCAAGGGGAAAAAAAAAAAAAATACAGTGATGCATACAGAATATTCACAAACAAAATGCAAGCATAAAATACAGTAATGCATATGTAGTATAAAATTGGACAGTGGGTTGAAACTTGCAGATGTTCATGCTGGTAATCTGTCATGAAGATGAAGATGGGACTGAATTTTCGCAGAGCAATAATCAACAATTTCCAAATAATGACTACAAGGCCTAAGTCAGGACAACAAGGGACACCTTGTGCAGCAATTATGGCAGGGAGAAAAAGGATCCCGTTTGTGTCCGTGCACACCAGATTTAAAAAAAAAAAAAAAAGTTGAAGGGCTAAAGAGTCAGAAGAATGGGAGAGGAGAGAATAAAAATGAAGGGGGGGGGGGGGGTGGAAGAAGAAGGGGATACCACTGAGGGAGCAGGAGAAGCAAAGGCAAGTCCAACACAACAATGTGAGAGGTGAGCAAGCCAGTTCACGAATATTGGAGATGTTCATCATAGAAACAGAAGAGGTCCCAATAGAACCACCTGGTCTTATATTCCCCAGATTAGTCTTGAAGAGCAGAGGTTTTCCATATGTTCAATGTCATTCACTCTGCGAGCTATTGGGGATTTAAGAATTGGATCATCTTCACATATTTCCTCAAAGGAGAGGAGTTTCCTGTGAAAGAGCACAGGATTAGGTAGCATTCTGAGAAAGTGTGATAATTGGAGAGCCCTCCAATGGTCTAAAGCTGGGGAGGCAGAACCTGTGAGTCAGACCCTGATGGGAATCCAGCGATGAGGGCGCAGGAAAGATTAGCACGTAAGATAACCTGACTTGACTGTAACGTAAAAGTTGGGTCGGAAATTCTGAGAGTAAACTCTGGATGGCCGATTATCGGTGTCATGGGAGATGAAAAGCTGTGTAATGCTGCTAGCTTGTAGAATCTCTCTTTTCACTTAAAGGATAAGTTCACCTTTCGTAACATGTTACATTTTACACCAATATTCAGGGTGTAACATGTTATGAACAAACCGGCCCCCAATCCCCTTTTGTGAAAGCTAGTGGGGGATCTTCTCCTGCCACTAGCTGTCACAATTTAAAAAAAACGAGGCTGTGTGGGGCTCCGCCCGCTTAGCCATGTCACTCATTCACAGTGTTCTGTGAATGAGAAAACTACAAGCCCCAGCAGTATTTTTGAGGCTGCTGGCTTGTAGTTCTCAATGAACTAGCACGACACTGTGAGCACTGTGGTAGCTCATTGACTTTTCCTGTCAGAAAGTATCAGGTTTCCCGTATGAGGCACAAGGAAGAAGATACAGTGACAGGTCTGCAGGAGACCTGCACGGCATCAGTGATCTGCTGATCGCCGGTGCAATGCTTTACAGGCTCTCATAACAATAAATGCACTTTTTTTTTTTTTCCTGCAAAAAAGTGCATTTGTTTTTTACTGAAAGGTGAACTTATCCTTTTTAAGATTTAATTAGAAAAATATGTGGATCTTGGGTAAAACATTGATAAATCGACCTGTCAGACCTTGCATTCTTGTGTGTTGCATGAATGTATGTGTGTTAGCATGCATTTAATTAAAGCAGCCTTTTCAGATGAATGAGCTGGCAACGCACCAAAATATCCAAAAAACAGACATAGAGTGGTTGTGCTGGGGCTTTTGGTAAGCAAGTACCCACTGCAGATTGTGTAGATCAAAAAGACTCTTCCAGTGTTGCTACAATCGCCTTTTCCACCTACTTCCATCTGTCAGGGCTGAAGGTGCATTTCAGGGACTTCCCCTTTATCCACAACTTCCCTATATCCAGCAGACCCCTATAGACTACTTCTCGCACCTTATATACCCCTTATACACTCTTTTATGTCTTTACTATGACCCCTGTATTTATTTGCTGTATTCAGTCAATCTCTGTTTTCTGTAATTCATGTTACGCAGCTTGAACAACCCAGCTTCAGGTCATGGTTTGCTTAGTCTGAAGAGAATAGGGACGAGCTTTGGGTTTAAGTGAACTCAGTGACTTAAGTCACACACAGTTTGGGAAAATAATGAATTGTGCACATTGCAGTATAGCAACCAGTTATGCACTTCCTGGCTTTTCAGCAGCAGCAGTCATTTGGCTTAGAAGGGACAAAATAGGGATTTTCATATGTGCCAGCCCCCTCCCTATAAATACTTGGGTTCCTATCAGCCATTTGTCTGTTTGTTGGAAACTTGGAGTAGATAAGTAGAGGTGACAGAGCGCAAGGAGAGATAGTTGCTGCTAAACATGGGTAGAGGTCTTTGAAATTAGGTCCTTATGGGACTGTTGGGTATCAAGCCACTGCCCAGAGTTTCCATAATTTCTACTGCGGCTTTTGGCTTGCCTTTCAGCCAGTATGCTGTCTAAGAGGGCCTTCAGTGCAGAAGGCAGTTTTGTGACAAAGATTCTGTCCCTTGCTCACTCTCATAAACATTAACCAGTTATGATTAGCAATGATAACAAAACCCCTGCATGTGAACTACAGTCTAAATTTTTTCAGAAAATTATAACTTACACTATTCCTGCCACTGCTGCTTGCCTAACAACATTACCGGCTACTCTCACATTCCCTATACTGCAACCATTACCAGTACTATCTGCCTCTGCTCGCCTGCCACCACTCCCAGTTAATACAGCCTCTCCAGTGCCCTATTATGGTGATTTAGCACTGTAAAGGTGCCAGACAAGGTATTTTTTACAGCTGGGCCTGCAAAATTACATGGTTTACCATGGTAAATTATGCTCTGTCTCCTAGTTGGCGAACTATTCCAGTGCTCCATCACTAAAATATATTGGCTATTGTTTCTTTGAAATAATACACTTCTCCCTCATCCTCCTAAATTGTTGCCTAATCAAGCTGCTTGCACGCTTGTGACTGTACAATATTTGTGGATATTGTCTGAATAATACACTCTAACTTTTATTGTATGATAAAACCTGTCTGGTCACTTCCTCTTAAATTGCAGACTTGTACAACTGCTTATATAATGTGGATCAAGTTTACAATATTTTTTCTGTTGTTTCAGAATTAACAAACAAAAAAAACTGCCTTGTCTCTCCCTCTTAAACTCCAGATTACTAACGCTTCATACATAGCGTGCATCAACTGTACAATTTTTCTTGCTTTTCTTTTTAGAAATACAGTTTTTAAAAACCTGGATGGTTTCTCCCTCTACAATAACAGCCTGTAAAGCTGTTTACATATTGTGTAGCAAATTTTTATGATCTTTCTGGCAATCGTCTCAGAAGTAATGCATTCTGAGCTTATCTTTCATTATAAAGCTGTAAACTGCTCCCTTTTAAAGCTTGTTCCCATTTGTATCAACTGTAGAATTTTTCTGGCTTTTTTTGTCTTTTTTAGGTTACTAAATGCAATAAACAAGAAAGCATTATAAAAAATCCTGCTTGTGCCCTCTGTATTTTGGCCCAGTAAAGCTGCTTACTGTTGTGCTTGTCTTTTAGGAATACTTTGCAATGCCAGTAAAACAAGAAAGCATTATAAAAAAAATCTCTGTAGTGTATACAAAATTTGCTTTACTAAACATTGCTGTACTTGTAGGAAAACAAGCCATACAAAGCATCACAAAATATCCTTCCTACAAGCACAAAATACTAGCAAATAAACATGTACAATGCATTTGATAGGTATACACTAAACAGTTACTTAACTTTTTTTTTTTGGAAATGGAGTCTTCCTTCTTTTAACCAGGATCTCTCCAGACCGTTCCTTTCTTAGGTGGACCCCATTCTTAGGTGCTGGCAGTCGATCCCCATCAAAAATTTCCCCTTGGATCAATGAGGGCTGCCAAGATCTCTTCAATTTACCCAAAAATGATTACTGCTCCTCTTTGTATCCCTCCCTTACTTATGCTGCTTTGACATTATTCAGGCAGGTATAGGGCAAGAATAGCCTTCTGCACATAATAATGGTGTTGGCTTAGGACTTCTTGGTCCTAATAATGGAGATTGGAGATCTGCCCCTGTGCTGTAGCACAGGCCACAAAAAAAACTGTTATGCAACCCTTGAGGAGGAAACAGCCTGCATTAAGGGGAAAATCCATAAAGGATGCCTGACATGCACATCTGTGGAGTAGGGAGAAAAGAGCAGATATGCATGCCGCGGGGGGACAAATCCCTCCTCCTCGCTGCCAGCACCCCAACTCTCCTCCTATAGTTTAGCAGATTATGAGGAGAAAAATTGTACAATACCAGAGCCCCCCCCCCCCCCCCAAAAAAGCTGCTATGTACTCTTGAGCAGGAAAAGTGTGCATTAATAGTCCTGAAAATAAGCAGCCATTATGTGCCCTTAAGAAGCAGGGAGAGGAAAAGGGGGCATTAGCAGCCCTCTAAAAGAGAGTGGCTTCTATGTGCCTTTCAGGAAGAAGAAGGAAAAATGGCACATAGCACTGTTAAAAAATAAAAATGGCTGCTATGTGCTCCTTGAGGAATGAGGGGGGCATATATTTTGCTGTTGACTTGTCTCATTGAGGT